TCTTTCCATTTGCTGCTACTTTGGCAGCTTGAACACCACAACTCCAACACCTTTATGGGAGCAGACAGGGTCAGTGTCATTCGTGTGCTGCCCTCAATGATAAAGATTCCCTGTGTCTCCTTCACAACATAATACATTTGAGGCAGATGATAGCAGAAAGAAGGTAATCAACGTTCTAGCCCGTCTAGCTAATTTCCTGAGAAAGAAAAAATGGTAACTGCAGATTGATGAACATCTTGTTGGTTTTCTTTTTTCAAACAAAGACATAAATGGAGAGAAGGTCGGGTAGATGATGAAGAGCAGAGCATAAACTAAAATGGAGAGAAGTATATGACTTCAACTCATTTTTTTCATTAACAAACTCTCCTATTTATAGGAAAATACAATCTTTAAACAATTCAAAATTCAAACAACTATTTTACATTAAAAAAAATAAATATACATTTGAATTTTGAAATGAGTAACAGCCACTTTTGCTGCTGCATGCTTGCGTCCTTTGCAGCCTCTTTGCTGCTCTGCTGCCTCTTGGAAGCTCTGCAGCCTCTTTGCAGCCTTTCATTTGTTTGCATTTGCATTTGTATTTAATTTTCTGTTCATGGCAGCCTCATTTCATCAACATTTGCAGCTTAGCTTCCTGCACATTTTAGCTGTCATTTGACAGCTTCATTTCCCTCATATTTGCAGCTAAATTGCTGCCATATTTGCTGAAAATTGCAGCTTCATTTACTGTCAATTTTCAGCCTCATTGCTGCCATTTCATGGCAGTTTCATTTCATTATTTCTACAGATTTGAATGCCACGTTTCTAGCAATAATTCCAACACATCTAAGCAGGTTGAGGACATCTCAATCTGTTTAGTAGACAAAATTTGTTTGGATTTGAAAGGTCATTCACACGGTAGGTGGAGATTGCACACCCTTCATTTAATAGAAAATTTAAATGATTGTCCTGCTGATAGGGACACAGTTGAATCATAGCAAGCTCTCTGTCTAATACCAATCCATTTTTTGCATTAGGTAAGATGTGAAGATTTCAAATTTGAGGATCTTGCCAGTGCATCACATAACAAAATGAGGGTATAAAACCTACTATTATGGTTTTTATGAAGCTGTAATGCTGGCCAAAGCTGGAACAGAGAAAAAACAGATTAGGCAATGCATTTATCTCCACATGCAACTCAACTATATTCAATGAAAGGGGAAAGGAGAAATATGGTTACTTCCTTCAAACCGTCCAACACCACCTGTGTGCTTCAGATCGTAAGGTATTTTCTTTTTCACTTACTTTCAGATCTTAGCACTTGGAAATTGAAATAATTAGGCAACGAGTTGTTGCGCTGGTTGACAGGAGACACTGCATTAACATTGCTGATAAAACCACGTAGACCAAATGAAGTCGATATCATATTATTCCTCATGTCTTCCTCTTCACCTAATGTATATAGAGCAGATGCTGAGAGAAAGAAAGCAAACTGAACAGAAAGAAAACTGTTCAAAGCTCCTCTCTTTCTCTACAACTCTAAAATAAAATATGGCTCACCATTCTCGCTCTAACAGCTTGCCCTCTGCATCACACCCCATAGCTTCAGAGGTTGATGTGCATTTGAGCAGATTGGCATCATCTGAATCTACTTCTACCTCATCCTCTTTATGCCACAAACTCAATGGCCTTCAAGATCTGCATGACTGCGTTCAAAGTTGCTCCTACTTCCCCTCACCCAACAAGCTTTAGCCCAAGAGGAGCACAGGAAATAGGTTGAAGAGCTACTTGATGGATCTCTTAGGCTCTTTGATCTTTGCACCATTGCCATGGATGCCTTGTTGCAAACCAAGGAATGCACCCAGGAACTTCAATCAGTTCTTCGCAGAAAGAGGGGAACTAAAATAGTTTTCTCAAATGAGATTAGGAAATACTTATCCTCTAGGAAGGCAGTAAAGAAGGCAGTATTGAAAGCCTTGAAGAATCTTAAGAACAAGGAAAACAAATACAGCACCTCTGCCTTCAACAAGAACAGTGAGACTGGCACCACAGTTAACATCCTACAAGAGCCACAAGCATTCACTCTCAATGTGCTGGAATCCTTGCTATTCTTTATCTCTGGACCAGAGGCAGAAACGAAAACCAGGCGATGGTCAGTGTTTTCTAAGCTACCGCACAACAAGAGTATAGGATGTGAAGAAGGAGAACAACATGAAAATGAGATTTCCAAAGCTGAAGCTAAATTACTCTCCATCATTAGTGTCAAGACAAGCATTCAAATTGAGAATGCACTAACTGAACTGCAAAGGGCAGAGTCATGCATTCAAGATCTTGAAGAAAGGTTTGAATCCATCTACAAGCGGTTGATTAAATACAGAGCAACTATTCTCAACATCCTCAGCCATTAGTATCAAGAATCATTGTAAACTCATACTAGTATATTGGTTCACCAGACAAGAAATATTCTTATGATAAAGAAAAATATACTTTCTCCAAAATTTTTGCTTTTATTACAGTCATAGGCCTTATCTCCTTTTCTTTTTACTACCATTTTACAAAGATACCTTGAGTTGTCTAGTGCATAATTTCCTTGTTCCAACTCTTTGCTGTCGTCTTGGTCAAAAAAAAACAAAAAAAAACACTCATAACCGTCCTCCTTGATTCTTGAGGGGATGCTAACAGATTTGTAATGAATATCTAAGCTGTCAAAATTCCAATTGTCTCAAGCGTGGTAAAAAAATGAATAATATATATTCACATGGTAGACTTATATTTCACATGCTTTAAGCAAATAAAAATTTCCTGCTGTCTTAATGTTAGGAATCTATTTGTGCATAATTGCTAGGCAAAAACTATTCCCTAATATTATGTGGAGATGGCAGAACCAAGAATTGGGATCTTGCTTGTCGTTTGCACAATAATCTTTTCAGAACCTACCTCATTTGATTGATTTTTCCATCAAGTTCTGTTAGCATAATTGCATTTCTTTCTATCTTACACATTCAAATGAGAAATAATAACGATCCGAATCCCACTTCTGCAAGCAAATATTGTAGTAGGTTAATGAGTTGAAAGACTGGTAGAGGAGACATAACATAAACATGGCTGAAAAGCCTGAAATAGTGTTTAGATACAGATAATGAAAATCATGATGGTAGCTCTCTATGATATATGCTGATGTCTCCTTTGCGGTGTGATATTTTATAGGGCAGATGCCACTGAATAGAAGGCACATAAGCATTACAAGCGAAAAAAATTGAAAACAAAAAAATTGTACTTCTGAAATGACAAGAGGTGTCAAGATTCGTATTGTCTCAAAATCAGAATGAAATCACTTGACACTCATCAAAATATCAATTGTTGTTACATGCTAGGCTCAGATTGCACACACCTTGGTTAATAGATTAGGGCAAAGTTGAATCATCCTGCAAGTTCTTAGGCGACATCACTCCTTTTTTATGCTTTTGACATGATAAGGAGATGTCAAGTGTGTGGATCTTGCCAGTCTCTTGCATAACTTAACAAGCTTAAGAGCCCTATTACTATGCAGTTGTAATGCTAGACAAACACAGAACAAATAAGAAACAGAATAGGCAATGCATTTCTCCACATGAAAAAGTGCTCAATTATAATTTTATGAGGGGAAAAGAGAAATATGGCTATTACCTTCAAACTTCCCAACACCACTCGTGTGCTGCATGTTATCAGAGATCTCACTGCCTACAAGGCAATGAGGTGTCGCACTGGTCAAGAGGAAACAGTGCATAAACATTGCTAACAAAACTGGTGTAGATAAAATGAATTCATTGTTAATTCTGATGAATTTTTTAAGGGGATGAGATTCGTTATGTCTCCTTCACCCTGGAATATATATAGACCAGATGCCAATGGAAAGATAACAAACCAAGTTGAATACAGAACTCTTCAAGGTCTCCTCCTTTCTCCAACTCCAAAATAAAAAATTAAAAATGAAAAATAAAAGAAATGGCTTACCAGTCTCGCTCAAACAGCTTTCCCTTTAGATCGCATCCCATAGCTTCAGAGGTCGATGAGCATTTGAGCAGATTGGCATCAGCTGAATCTGCCTCAACCTCATCATCCTCACTGTGCCAAAAACTCTATGGCCTTCAAGATTTACAAGATTGTATCCAGAAGTTGCTCTCGCTTCCCGTTAACCAACAAACTCTGGCCCATGAGCAGCATCAGAAATATGTTGATGAGCTGCTGAATGGATGTCTTAAGATCTTTGATTTCAGCACCACAGCCAAGGATGCCTTGTCGCAGACCAAGGAATGTATCCAGGAACTTCAATCAGTTTGGTGCAGAAGGTGAGGAACTGAAATCACACGAGGTTAGGAAACACTTAGTCTCCAAGAAAGCAGTGAAGAAGGCAGTATTGAAGGCCTTAAAGAATTTGAAGAACAAAGAAAACAAATGCAATGAAAATGGAACAATAATTAACATCCTCTGAGACACACAAGCAGTCTCTCTCAATGTGATGGAATCCTTGTTGCTATTTGTATCTGGACCACAGGCAGTATCAAAAACAAGCCACTAGTCAGCAGTTTCAAAGCTATTGAAGAAGAAAAGAATAGGGTGTGAAGAGGAAGAAGAGAATGAAAATGAGATTGCCAATGCTGAAGCTACACTGCTCTCCATAATTGGTGGCAAGACAGGCATTGGAATTGAGAAGGCCCAAACTGAACTCCAAAAAGCAGAGTCATGCATTCAAGATCTTGAAGAAGGACTTGCAATCATCTTCAGGCCGTTGATTAAAGCTAGAGCCACCATTCTCAACATCCTTAACCATTAGATCAAAGATCATAATACCCCGAAATACTTGTACATGATTCATCATACATTTATTTGAAAATACACAAAATTATACTTCAAAGAAAAATATATACTTCCTCCAAAAATTTGTGTTGCTATTACAGTTTCATGTCTCTTGCCTTTGATTCAATCTTTTCTCTTTCTATTATCACAAGAAATATTTTTATCGAAATTAAATTTCAACCCCCAATTTTAACCTTTTCCTATGGGGATAATTAATTATATGCATTTTTCATTTAATATATATTATCTAAGCTGTCAAGATTCCCATTGTCTCATTGAATATAATTCATTTGATAAAAAATGAATGACATTCACATGGTAGACTGAAATATCACACAGTTTAAGCAAAAATAAGTGCTCCTTATGTTTTCTGTGAGGAGAACGTTGGCATATTTCACGCTGCACAACTGCTAACTAAAAGCTATTTTCTAACATGACAGAACCAAGAATGTGGATCTAGCCTGACTCTTGCGGATCAATCAATTTGATTGATTAATCACTCAACTTTTGTTACTATAATTGCATTTCTTTCTATTACACATTCAAATGAGGAGAAGGTAGTAGAAGCACAGGAACAGCTCAACAATATAAGAGCTTTCATCTTTTCATCAACATAAATAATTTGCTTCAATCTACGGGAATAATAAAAGGAGTGATAATCATGACGATGTAATCAGATATATAATGTGAAATATGGCATGGAACAATTAAGTTACGAATATTAGGATTAATTCATAGAAAATGATGCGTTACCGTTAATTGACGGAATAACTAAGTTGTTTCTTGTTTCCAGGAGAGCAGTAACAAACATGGAGAAGCTTATCTTTCTGAAAAAAATTAGTTCATGCTTGCAGATATGAGAAATGAAAACAATGCCAACCCCACTCGTGCAAACAAATATTATAGTAGGTTAAATGAGATGGAGGCTTGGTGAAGAGGAGACATTGCTTAAGCATGGCTGAAATAGGTTATATAGGTTATTACCTTTCTGCTAGGGGCATGGTTGGATCATCCAGCAAGCTCGCCAGCTAACATAACCAAATTTTTATGCCTTAGGAAAGAAATTGAGATGACAATAGTACAGATCTTGCCTGCCTCTTGCATAACATAACAAGACTAAGACCAATAGTTATGATTTTTGTGAAGATGTTATGCTCACCAAACCCAAAACAGAGGGGGAAACACAGTAGGCAGTGTAATTATCTCTACATTCAAAAATGCTTATATTATCTTGTTATGTACTATATATTATATCCTGTCATTGATGATACTTTTGGATCTCACTGCTACAAAATAATTTGCCGATGAACTTCCGCCCTGGTTGAGAGGAGACATTTCATAGACATTAACAATAAATATTTAGAAGGGAAGAGAATCCTCATATCTCCACTACATGTAATATTTATAGAGCAGATGCCAAGGGAAAGATAACAAACCAAGTTAAATACAGAATTCTTCAAGGTCTTCTTCCTTCTCCAACTCCAAAAGAAAGAAAAAAAAAATGGTTTACCACTCTCGCTCAAACAGCTGTCCCTCTAGATCACACCCCGTAACTTCAGAGGTTGATGAACATTTGAGCAGATTGGCATCATCTGAATTCGCCTCAACCTCATGATCCTCAATTTGCGAAAACTCAATGGCCTTCAATATTAACATGATTATATCCAGAAGTTGCTCCTGCTTCCCCTTAACCAATAAGCCTTGGCCCATGAGCAGCATGGGAAATGTGTTGATGAGCTGCAGAATAGGTCTCTTAGGATCTTTGATATCTGCACCACGGCCAAGGATGCTTTGTTACAGACCAAGGAATGCACCTAGGAACTTCAATCAGTTTTGCGCAGAAGGCAAGGAACTGAAATCACACCAGAGGTTGGGAAATACTTAGCCTCCAGGAAGGCAGAGAAGAAGGCAGTTTCGAAGGCCTTAAAGAATTTGAAGAACAAAGAAAACAAATGCAATGAAACTGGAGCAATATTTAACATCTTCTGTGGGGCACAAACAGTCACTCTCAATGTGATGGAATCCTTGCTGCTCTTTGTATCTGGACCGCATGCAGGATCAAAAACAAGCCGCTGGTCAGCAGTTTCAAAGCTATATTGCAGAAGAAAAAAATAGTGTGAAGAAGGAGAAGAGAGTGAAAATGAGATTGCCAATGCTGAAGCTATCATTGGTGGCAAGAAAAGCATTCAAATTGAGAATGCACAAACTGAACTCCAAAAGGCAGAGTCATGCATTAAAGATCTTGAAGAAGGGCTCGAAACCATCTGCAGGCAGTTGATTAAAGCCAGAGCCACGATTCTCAACATCCTTAACCATTAGATCAAAAATCATAATACCCCAATATACTTGTACATGATTCATCATACATGTATTTAAACCACAATATACTTATGAAAAAGAAAAATACACTTTCTCCAAAAATTTGTGTTGATGTTACAGTTTCATTTGTATTTGTCTTTTATTTAATATTTTCTTCTTTCTATTATCAAAAGAAATAATTTTATCCAAACTAAATTTTGACTGGCTGTAACATATTTGGGACATGATTCCATTGGATAATACTCAACTTTCATGTTCCAACCCATTTGTAAACTCTTTGATTCCTATACGGATAATATGAATTTCTGGTGAATATCTAGGCCGTTAAGATTCCAATTGTCTCATTAAGGATAATTGATCTGATAAAAAATAAACGCACTAACATGATAGACTCAAATCTCACATGTTTTATTCAACTAATGATGTGCTTCATGCCTTTCTGTTAGGAGAATGCCACCTTCTTCCATGCTGCACAGCTTCTACCAAAAGCTATTTTCTAACATTATGTGGAGATGACAGAACCAAGAATGTGGATCTTTGCCTATTTATCCAAGAACAATCATTTTATTGATCAATCAATCAACTTTGGTTAGCTTAATTACATTTCCTTCCATTCTACATGTTCAAATGAGGCGAAAGGAGTAGAAGCACGTGATTTAACATCAGGGCTTTCATTTTTACCTCAATTTGTAGGATACATAATTTGCTCAGTCTGCTGAAATGATGAGAATTAATTAACGGCATAACTAACTTGTTTCTTGTCTCTGGAGGTGGGAGAGCAGTGCCAAACATAAAAACTTGTCTTTCTGAATAAATTAGTTCATGCCTGCAGAATGAGAAATAAAAACAATGCCAGCCCCACTTATGAAAACTAATTTTATAGCAGGTCAAATAAGATGAAGGCTTGGTGGAGAGGAGACATTGCTTAAGCATGGTTGAAATAGTTTTTAGATGAAAATCATGAATTTCATGCTACCATCCTCTGCTATCTGCAGATGTCTCCTTTGGCGAATAATATTTGTAAAGAAGAATCCATTGAATGGAAAGAAAATTAGTAAAACAAGATTAATTTTTCAAGAAAATGCCTGAATTTTATGCAATTTCAATGAAAACTGTTTCTGTCATGATTCCTATTGTCTGAAAAACAGATAAAATCACTTGACACTAAATGGAAGTCACATGTCAGGGTTTGGATTGCACATACTTTGCTCAATAGAAACTTTACATGGTTTTCTCTGTTGGGAGAATGGTTAAATCATTCAGAAAGCTCTCTGGCTAACATCAGTCCTTTTTATTCATTAGGAAAGAAGAAGAGATGTTGAGGAGTGCAGATCTTGCCTGCCTCTTGCATAACATTACAAGATTAAGGCCATTTTATATGATTTTTATGAAGCTGTAGTGCAGGCCAAACCCAGAGCAGAGGAAAAACAAAGTAGCAATGCATTTATTTCCTCATGCAAAAGTGCTTATCTTTTCATGAAAGGAAAAAGGAGAAAAAAAATGAAAAAGGGCCAGTGCCTTCAAACTGTCAAAGACCACTCGTGTTCTGTCTATTCTATGCTGTCATTAGCAATACTTTTGGATCTTGCTTCTTGAAATAATTAGGCAATGAACCACTGCTTTGGTTGAGAGGATACATTGCATAGACATAGCTCCAAAATTAATTGAATCAAAGTTATTTCTATTAAATATTCTAAAAGGGGATGAGATTCCTCATGTCTCCTCTCCTTGTGGTATATATACGGCAGATGCCAGGGAAAGAAAGCAAACTGAGTTGAATATAGAATTGTTCAAGTCTTTCTCTTTTTCTTCGACTCCAGAAGAGAAAAATGGCTCACCACGCTCGCTCAAACAGTTTTCCCTCAAGATCTCACCGCCTAACTTCAGAGGTTGATGAGCATTTAATCAGATTGGCATCATCTGAATCTGCCTCAACCTCATCATCTTCCCTGTACCAAAAACTCAATGACCTTCAAGATTTACAGGATTGTATCCAGAAGTTGCTTCTTCTGCCCCTCAACCAACAAGCTCTAGGCCATGAGCAGCAAAGGAAATATGTTGATGAGCTGTTGAATGGATCTAGTAGGCTCATTGATGTCTGCACTGCTGTCAAGGAGGCCTTGTTGCAAACCAAGGAATGCACTCAGGAACTTCAATCAGTTCTGCCCAGAAGGCGGGGAGCTGAAATCACACAAGAGGTTAAGAAATACTTAGCCTCCAGGAAGGCAGTGAAGAAGACAGTTTTGAAGGCCTTGAAGAATTTGAAGAACAAAGAAAACAAATGCAATGAAACTGGATCAGTACTTAACATCCTCCATGAGGCACAAGCAGTCACTCTCAATGTGATGGAATCCTTGTTGTTCTTTGTATCTGGACCACAGGCAGGATCAAAAACAAGCCGCCGGTCAGCAGTTTCAAAGCTATTGCAGAAGAAAAGAATAGCGTGTGAAGAAGGAGAAGAGAATGAAAATGAGATCACCAATGCTGAAGCTACACTGCTCTCCATCATTGGAGGCAAGCAAGCACTGGAATTGAGAATGCACAAACTGAACTCCAAAAGGTGGAGTTATGCATTCAAGATCTTGAAGAAGGGCTTGAAATCATCTTCAGGCAGTTGATTAAAGCTAGAGCCACCATTCTTAACATCCTCAACCATTAGATCAAAAATATGCTTGTATATGATTCATCATATATGTATTTGAAAATACAAAAATATTCTTTAGAGAAAAAAAATATAATTTCTCCAAAAAAATTTTGTGTCCATTTTCATATATCTTTACTTTTTTTTTTTTTGATATTAACTCCCGATATTCGATAACCACATTAGACCTCAACTAATTTGGAGTCGAGCTGCATTGGGAAAACTTGCTTTCAGTCGGAGCAACAAGTGGTTGGTTGTTTCTTCTCTTATAAATTGAAACATTTTTATCCAAAATTTCAACGACATGTTACAGTTTGAGCAATGAACCCCAATTATTGCTCCAATTCATTTCAACAATCTTTTCCTATGGGGATAATTAATATCATGCATTTTTCATGAATATCTAAGCTGTCAAGATTCCCATTGTCTCATTAAATACAATTCATTTCATAAAAAATGAATGGCATTCACATGTTAGACTCAAATCTCACATGGTTTAAGCAAATAAAAATGATCCTTATGTCTATACATTAGGAGAATGCCACGCTGCCCAACTGCTAGCCAGAAGCTATTTTCTAACACCATGTAGATATGACAAAACCAAGAACGGGGATCCTGCCTGCCTATCATGCAGTCAGTCAACTTTGGTCAGCATATGTAATGGTAATTTTCTTCTATTATAAATATTCAAATGAAGAACTTAAAATAACATGAACAAATTAACATAAAGGTTTTCACCTTTAACTCTATTTCTATGCACAGAAATAATTTGCTTCAGTTTCACGTGTCGACATAATATAGAACGGATAAGTTAAGGATTTTAGGTGCATTTCGATGATCTACAAGAAGATTAAAATCATGGAAAATATAAGGTTTACCAGATGATGAGAATTAATTGACTACACTAACCTGTTTTTTGGTCTACTGGAGGGATGTGCCGTACACAGAGAGAAACTTTATCTCTTTCTGTATAAATTAGTTCCTTCCTGGAGGCATGAGAAATAAAACTTTGCCAACTCCACTGGTGCAAGCAAATATTATAGTAGGTTAAATAAGATTGGAGACTTGGTGGAGAGGAGACATTGCATAAGCATGGCTAAGACTAAGATAACTCCTTGTGTATGCTGATGTCTCCTTTGCCATTTAATATTTATAAAGAAGATGGCATTCAATGGAAAGCAATTTAACAAAAAGAGATTAATTTGAGGAAATTGTTCGATCTTACTAAATTTTAATGCATTAGGAAAGAAGAAGAGATGTCAAGGGTGCAGATCTTGCCTGCCTCTTGCATAACATAACAAGACTAAGACCAATTATTGTGATATGAAGCTGTTATGCTAGTTGAACCCATAGCAGAGGGAAACCACAGTAGGCAGTGTATTATCTCCACGTGCAAATGTGCTCAAATTTTCTTTTCATGAAAGGGAAATGGAAAAAGGGGCCAATTCCTCCAAAATGTCCAACTAGGCGCATGTACTGCATATTATATGCTGTCATTAACGATTCTTTTGGATCTTAGTACCAGAAAATAATTAGCCAATGAACTACTGCCCTGGTTGAGAGGAGACATTGCATAGACATCAACAACAAATATTAAAAACGGATGAGATTCCTCATGTCTCCACACCTTGTAATATATATAGAGCACTGGGTGAAGGAAAGCAAACTGAGTTGAATATAGAATTGTTCAAGTCATTCTCTGTTTCTCTTAATCTAGAAGATAAAAATGGCTCACCACACTCGCTCAAACAGTTTTCCCTCAAGACCTCACCGCCTAACTTCAGAGGTTTACGAGAATTTGAGCAGATTGGCATCATCTGAATCTGCCTCAACCTCATCATCTTCCCGTACCAAAAACTCAATGGCCTTCAAGATTTACATGATTGTAACCAGAAGTTGCTCCTACTTGTAATGTTTTTGCTCAAAAGGAAAAATGGAGAGAACAAACAGAGAGAAAAAAGAGCAGAACACAGAAATGGTCATTGATTTCTGCTTTTATACAAAATAAACACTAGCTTTGGGGAAAGAGGAAGAGTAGTTTACCAAACTACAAGTAGCTTAATTTTAGCCCCCTACTCAAGTGTTTATACTGACAGAAGGTTAACAAAAATCTACCTAACCAAAGGTCAAATTACATCAAAAAATCAGATACTGAATTGTTGCAGCATGTGATAGCACAGTACTTCGAAAACTACAAAAATCTGAACTTCAGTCAACACTCCTCCTTGGCATCCAAGCTGCAAACACCAAGCTTGTTTCTAAGAGCTTCAAATCTGATCTTCTGTAAGCCCTTAGTGAAAATATCAGCAACATTTTCTTCAGAGGAGCAGTGCACCATAACAATATCACCATCATTTTCTGCAACTCTAACAATATGATACTTCAATTTAAAATGTTTTGTCCTTCCATGAAAGACTGGATTTTTAGCAATAGCAACTGCAGCTTTGCTATCACACAACATTTCAGTAGGATTGGATTGAGCATGATGAACATCAACC